GGCCCATGCTGCGCGCGCAGCGACCCGGGCGTCACCAGGCCGACAAGGCTCCAGTCGCTGACGGTTACTTGCGAGGGCGCTCCCGTGCAAACCGATGGAGACTTCTCATCCGCCTCTCAAAACAAGGGAGCAGTTTCATTGAGCTGCGAGGTAGCTGCAAATACCTCAGGTGCTAGATTCTGCCAGGTGCATCAGGACAGGACAGGTCGTTCGCAAGTCCCCTGCAGAGGCCTGTGTCAAGTTCGCAGCTGGTTGGGCGATCCTTTGCTTGAATCTGGGACAGCAGCTGGGGGTCCTAGAGGTCCTAGGGTCCAGGAACATGGGGGAATTTCCTTTTATGGCCCCAACCGCTGCCGGACCTGCTTCCGCTCCTCCCTTTCAACAAATTGAGGTTTTGGCAAAAGCTCGGTCTTTATTCAAGCCAGCCCCTAGCTGACTCGCTGGCACGCCTGCGTGAAGCGTCCGAGAACACCATGCAAATTGTGAAGCTTGTTGGGCTTTAGCTGTTACTATGAAGAAAGTGGCATAATTTGTTCTTGCTGCGAGCGAACGGTTTCGTTAGTGCTTCAAGATCTAGATGACGATTTTACTGTGCCAAGGTCGCTTCCGTCAATTTTAAGATCGATGTGCCGCTAGCCCATGCCCCCCCCCCCCCCCCCCACCCGTACCCGTACATGAAATGCCCCTTAGCGCAGGAGCCTCTGTGAAGACTCTACGAACCAGTCTTCCAACTTGATCGCTCGTTGCGCTACGTGCATGCAAGGTGGCTGAGGTGCCTGCAGCCCGCATTGCCATGGCTAGGACCAGGCCAAGGCTTGCCAGAGCGTGGGGGAGAGCTTACTGTTTGGCTTAAGGGGCCTCAGTTGGGCTCAGTTGGGGCTAAGGGTAGGTGTTGGCTATGCTGCAAGTGTTTGCAGGTTGAGGGTCCCCCGACTACTGGAGAGCACTCTTGTACAGCCCCTTGATCATGAGGAGCATCTCAGCTCACCGCGAGCCATCCAGAATCACGCCTCATGCCGCGGCAGGTTCGCTTCCGCGGCGCGTGTCCCTTCAAGCTGCTCCCAAGGCTTGCTTGTGTGGCGGCATGGGGAGGGGGAAGGGGGAGGGGTGAGCGGGGGATCAAGGAACAAATCCAAAATCTACCCAAAGGGGTGCCATAGTTCACGCCAGGCGGCCTCTTGATTTCGGCGCAGGGTTTTGAGGATAGACGGTCGGCATGCAAGGCGGACGTTGGCGGACTTAACTTCCATTTAAGGTCTTTTGGCCCCTGGTTTTGCAAACGTGTTCTTCGCATCCTAAGCCGGAAGCCGCTGGCTCCCTGAGGATGTGGCTGACCTGGACATCGATGGTGAGCTGGAGGATGACTGGGGCGTGGTCGATGAAGAGGAGGAGGCCTTTTTGTTTAGGGTTCCGGTTTTTGGGGGAACTGGCCTCGCCACAATGAGCAAAGCCGTGAGCTTAGAAGTTGTAGGCCCTTGCATGGAGTGGACCCCCGCGCTGGGAGGCTGCTGACGACCCACTTCTGGAGGAGTACATGCAGAAGATGGGCTATTCCCCTTTGGAGGAGGAGGAGGTTGAGGCTGCTTGGACGAGGATGGCATGCTGCATGTTAAGCTTAAGCTTCTTCATGTTCGCATGGGGACGGGCGTTTTCAGAGGACTGGAAGCAATTCCGCTTTGCATGCCACTCTGTTGCTTTCGGTAGAAGGTTCGGTCAAGGTTAGCCTCAAAAAGGGCTGTGGCCCGATCTCAAGTCCTGCGTGTCACCTTCGAGCCATTCCCCGGCTGAGCTTCTACTCTTCTCTTTTTTGTTGTTTGCACGGGTTGCTTCTTGTTGGTCCTTCGCTCAAGAGTGGGCAGTCCTTTGCTAGTATGAACAAGGGGCTGCACCTCGGCGTGCGAAGCCATGTCTGGCCCATGGTCATTCGAGGTGTCCCAACATCATCTCCTCAGCCGCTCTTCCCTGAGCATCAAAGAACGAACCATGATCAACTTCCTACATCACCAAATTCACAAAGCCAGCAGCAGTTCCCCCACCCACACGCAAGAAATGCACGCCCGGAAGCCCAACCTTTTTAAAGCATGACGGGAAAACACAGGGACATTCAAGGGGTCTCCATGGATTTCCCGAACACTCAGGAGCCGGAGCCTCCTGAGATACCACTGCCTCCACAGATCCAAGAGAGACTTAGCTGATGCTCAAGTTTAGGGTTTAGGGTTTAGGGTTTAGGGTTTAGGGTTTAGGAAACAAGGAGTCCAGTTGCAAAAAGGGTTTAGGGTTTAGGGTTTAGGCGCTGATGGCTTCTTGTTGTTGGCGTTTGCCTTTGTAAGAGCTTCGCATTTACGGTGGCAGCTCAAAGCAGAACCTCAGAACCCATCCTGGGTATGTCCACGGTAGGCTTTGATTGCAGTGATTGCTTGGCTGCCAGAAAAAGTATGCCGAAAGAACCCCAAAAAGGTGTATCGCTTGCTATACCGCAAAACAAGGGTATGCCACCTTCAAAGCCACAGCTGCAGGCGCGTGGACAAGGCCAGAGAACGCCTTCAGAAGTTTGCGGATCCAGAGTCTCTCAAGGCCCCGGCAATGGGTGGCTTGACCAAAAGATTCGCAAGGAGCGTGGCTGCGAATGTAGGACATGGGGTCATTAGGATCCTGAGAAGCCAAGCTTCGATTTCTTCGGCTTGTGTGCGCAGGCATTCGATGGAGTTGGTGGTGGGGGTGGCGAGGCAATGGGATGGCTCGAGGCGCTTGGGGGCTCGTTGTGATGGCTGGCTGCGGCATGTCTTCTTTAGACTGGGTCAATTTGAGGTGGCATGGGACTTTCCTGAGGCATGAGCTTTGGCTGGAAGGCTGAGAAGACACTTGTCAATGCCATCATGGTTTTGCCTGTAACTGCCAATAAATGGCTTCCCGAACCTCAGCCGCTCAACCATCCAAAGAGGCGGAAAGCAACTCCGACCCAACGCCCGCCACCCCCTGTGCACTCCTGCCTGCCACCCCCCCTCCCCCCTCCCCCAAACAAAAAAGAACAAAGCCGCACCGAACGCCCTGCAAACTAACAAGCAGGTGCCTTTGAATGACACCTTCAGCATCTTCGTGTCCCAGGTGCCGGGTGCGGCAAGTCGCTTCCAGGAGATGCTGCGCCCCTCAGTTTGAAGCTTCATGTGTGTCAGAATGGGCAGCAGGGGTGCGAGGACTTTGGAGAATTTGAGCACAAGAGCTCTTGTAAGAGCCTTTGAACCAAGCGGCCTGCACATTGCCGGCCCAATGCTCACTCAGTGGGCACCATAAACTCTGAAGAAGTTGCTGGATTTGGAGTTTGGGGCGTGCCTCGCCCGGTCCGTGCTTTCCCGGGGCCTCGCAAAGCTGCGGGTGGCGCAAAGCGCAAAAACCAGGCTCATGTGATTCATTGCGTGGGAGACAGCTCAACCACTCCGGCTGCGGAAGAAGGCAAACAGACTCAGGGGTTAGGGTTTGGGGGAACCTCAACATGCGGATGTTCACCATTCTGGCGAATGAGGGGCTCCTTCAGTGAATTGCTTGGGGTACACGAGCTTTCGAGCAATTTGCCAAGGCGGCTCTCCAGAGGTGACGAACATCACCAAAGACATCCTCCAAGGTGGAGACACTGTCTGGCCGGCGTCCATAATCTGGGTCGCTCGCCCCTGTGGATTGTATGGTGTACTGTAGGAACGGCGTTGAATGTCAGGGGTTTTTGCGGGTCCCAGCTGCGGGAATTAAGGGCTTCCATGTGGTGTGTGCAAGGGTGGCTTGGAGTCTGCATCTCCGGTGAATCACTGTAGCCTTACAGACGCGAGGAGATGTTTGCAGGTCTGACCCCACGACTACATGTGTGTCATACTTTTCCACAGGCATGCATAAAAATGACGGGAACAACCGACTCTCGCTGCCTTCATCGACTCCAGTAAACTGGATAGACTTGCAAGCGCGAGGCACGATGGTTGGCGATTCAGCCGCCGGTGGTTTCGATGGAAGGCGGCACTGGCACAGTCTAGTGGTCGTGCGGTGATTGGGGTCCTACAATAAAAGGACCCCGACTGACTGCAGGCTCAAGCACTCCCGGTTTGGGACTGCTGCGCTGGTGTGCCTCTGTGGCATCGAAACTACCAGCACAACATGCGCCCGCACTCCAATGCACACACGTTTTGTGGAACCCGGTGAAAAATCCACATGAAAGGCTGAGGTGCCAATCTTTGCATCTCCTTAGATTCTTGTTTGGCCTCCAGTTTCACTTTGGTCTTTTCGGCTCCTTGGCCCTTTCCTTGACTTCTGGGCCCAATCCGCCCCATCGCCCTAAACAACCTGTGAGGGTACGAAGCCGCGTACCCAGCTCTGGGCTGCCGTTAGCCTGGGCAGGCCTGAGCGTCCTTGAGTTCGGATCGGGGCTGGGACTTGGCGGAGTGGCCTGCGCCGGATTCGGTGCCCGGGCGGTGCTACTGCAAGACCGTGCCTCGTCAGGGACGCCCGGGACGCTTCGTGGTTTTTGTCCTTGGTACTTGTGGGTTCCTTTACATGTAAGTGTAGGGCGATTGCAAGGCTTTGAGAGGGAAGGTGCCCTGAGGTCTTGTAGATTGTAATTAGACGCTGTTCGCGTACGGCTTGGCATTGTTCAGAGGTTAGCAAGATCGTGCTACTGAGGAGATCCGGCATGTCTCAGACAAGCAGTCGAGTCCTGGCCGCAGCACTGTGATCCTCGTTCCACATGTAGGCCAATCACCGACAGGACCCGAATACCAAAGTTTTGCCCCACAGCCTCTCAGCAGCTCATCTAGGCTCAAGTAGGCTCAGTAGGCAAACTAAGTGCAACGTGAAGCGAGCAGTTTTGGATCATCACAACCGGGATATTGAAATGGCAACCTCAACCGTGCAATAGCGCATCTCAGCACTAGTGATGTTACGAGTCAGTACTAGGGGAGACAGTGCAGACGTGACTTCCTACCGCAAGTGATTCAGTGCGACCTGTCCTGCTTGAGCAGAAGATGCCCGAGTCAATCCGGCGTGATGCCAACATGCGCCCAACCACGGCACGGGGAACATCACCCAACAGTGGCACACCAGTGCAAGAGCCTCTGCCCAGCGACTACTTGCTGGGTTCGCCAAAGAGTCAGCGAAGTGGAAGGAGCGGAAGAAGTCCTTCCCAGCGCTCGCGTTCTGCGGCCGGCTCTCCGAAGTCCCCGAAGTCCCCGAAGGCTCATCGCGCTTGGAAAGCGGCAAATCCGGAGTTGGAGGTGCTGTCTGTGGAGGAGCTGCAGAAGCTGTTGCAGCTGAAAGACCACGCTTTGGAGTTGCTGCAAGAAGAGGTAGCAGGGTTGCAGGCTGTGCTCGAAAGCCAGGAGCGGTTGGAGGTGCGTTACCGCCATTTGCAGAGCCTTTTGCAGCCTGCGCCTGACTCCGAAAAGGTCCGGCCTGTTACTCCGAGCATGTTGGACAAAATTGGCGAGGCTGGGCGAGCAGCACAGGTCGATCGCTTGCATGCGTATCACGCAGGCCTCCGTCACGGGTACACAGACTTCGAAGCCAAGGCTGTCGCCTTTCCGGTTGACGAGCTCGGCATGCAGAAGAGAGGCATGCAGCAGGTTTCTGCACCCACTCCAGATGTCCAGCCACAGCCTCGGCAGGTCAAGGGTTGGTTGTACTGAGACTGGGAAAAACCAGCCTTGAGCAGCTCATCGGATGGTACATTCCGGGACAGCCGGGGCAGGCGCAGCGCTCCCCGCATGCCTTCTGCCTTGGTTTCTTGAATCATTGAAGTCGCTGTAGTCTGTTCCAGTCTTCAGGCCCAAAGCACTGAGGACTCTTGGGTAGCACGGAGCTTGTGGCGCCACAGGATCTCGCCGGCCTGAAGTAGAAAAGAAAAACTCACGTAGCAATGGGGGCAGAGTTTAGCAAGCTGGGCTCAAATGCGTTCGAGCAATCCGGAGATGCAGACGGTGTTCTCGAGTCTCCAACTTCAACTCGCCAGTCGTGTAGAGCGATAATATGCTGTAGCAGCCCCCGGAGTCATTGGTTCGACGATTGCTTTGCCTTCCCTCGTGCGAGCGCGAGTCTCGAGAACCTTGATGAAGCACCAGACCATGCAGTAAGGAGACGGCCGTGCGCTGCGATGTGGCACGTTGGGTCACGACACTCCGCTGCGACTACAATGAACTGCCTGGCAAGCTGGCATCTGGCCAGGAGCTCATCAAGCTCTGTTCAGCACAGATATGTATAAATCCCATAAATCTCCGAGCCCCCGCCCCTAAAGAGAACACAAAACACACCAGGAGGCACTGCAGGAGTTTGTGCAGCCAGACGTCTTCGTTGGTTGTGATGTGCTGCTGAGCCAGGCCGTGGGAGTGGAGTGTTCTTTTTCGGGCTTTGGGGGTGAAGGCCTGAAGAGTGTAGTCTGGAACATCTTATTGCGGTGTTTCAGGGGGTGTTCTTGCTGGGTTCTCTCTGGACAAGGTGCGGCAGATTTTAGGGCTTTGGGGTGATGAGCACCGCAAGTTGGCCTTGCCATAGCGGCCTGTGAGTGAGCTAACCCTTGGAAGTTCTGTGGTTACGCGGTGTACGAACCTCCATGAGGGGCAGAAAGGCTCCTCTGACTTGAAGCCACTTGAGAGCCCGAAGCCCAAAATAAGGCCAGCATCGAAGAAATCGTCTCGGTGCTGAACCTGCTCATGCGCACTCCAACTCAGGCTCGCCAGACAGGTCTTGATGGGACTTGCTCAATATGTAGGGCTTCAGGCTGATTGGAAAATCATGCTACTGCTAGAGAGACTGAACCCGATGCCAGCAAGCGACGCCAGTGGAACGGCAACAACTCACACGAACCAGTCAATCCCACCACGACGTGACCGTTTTGTGACGGAGCAAGGAAACAAGGGTATGTAAACAGCAGAAGTTAATGAAGCGATCCACACACACACAGAGTATGCCGAACTCAGGAAGCATACGGCACCTCATTAATGAAGAACTACTGGACGGCAGAGACACATGGACCCACTTCGGGCAGACCGTCACCGACGGAGTGACACAGGCCATCACAGAGACACGGGGGCAAGACGTCCGACCCAGGCAGACTGCCACGACCAAACCGAAACTCGCAGAACCAGCGAGAAGTTCATGAATGACCATTTTAGTGTATGCCTTCGTACCAATCTGTGGAGCTGTGGCAGCGCTCATTGAGGTGGCCTACTTCATGGACCCTTACACTCGTCCAAACCGAAAGCTGTTCATGCAGCTTGTCCGCAACTGAATTTCCAAGGTTGTGTTTTGAAAGTTGTGAGGTGAAGTCTGGGACTCAAGATGACATCAAGCCCTTGAACTTTTGAAGGGAACACTTCAAGCTCAGTTTGATGAAACTTGATATCATGTGACTGGCGGGTTGATCTGCCGCGTCGGCACTGTGGCAAAGTCCATCTTGCAAGCGCGTTTGGAAGCACTTGCTTGCACATTGAAGGCCCATGGAGCTACCTCCGAGCACGGAAGAAACCCCACAAGTTTCCACGACCCTTGAGCTGCGTACAGGCAATACTGCGACAGCATGGGCTTGGAAGCCAAGGAGGAGCTTGGTTTCCCTTATGATCTTGTAGATAGAATATTAAGGTAATACAATAATCTAGTTATATAGTAATAGGAGTATAGTTTCATAGTATAGTAGCAAAGTACTGAAAAACCCAAGAACTCCAAGCTTGCCGTGGCTGCGCCGTTTGCTTGGCTTGTTGATGCTTGTTGCTTTCCTTATCTGGTAGGGCCTTGGCATAGGAGGTTGGGAGCCCTCTTCCCCCATTGCATGTCAGAAACAGCGGCAGCACAAATGGGGTGCCTCTGGCCCGTTCTTGCCGAAGCTAACTAAGGGCCCATATGGTGTTGGAGTTCGCTTTTTCATGGACTGACTGCTGGACACATCCGTGCCATTTGTTTATGGGGCAAATCTCAACCCAACCTCACAGATGGCTCTTCATTTGCTCAGAGCCGCACACCCTCTCACCAGCCAGGATGAGATTGTGACCTGGGAACCGGATTGGGACAACTTCCTTGAGTACGACCGGGAATGGGCCCGATCCCCATCATCGTCTACAATGATAGTCGGCTTCTTTGAAGTTCACATGGCCAGCGGAGAACTCAAAACCCATCAGTCTTGGGATGCATGGTTTTTTGGGGACACTAGGCGTGGAATTGAGTAGGACATCTCGATCCTTTCTTCCTTGTGCCTACATCGATGCTTGCTTTGCTGAGCAGCATCCACGAAGCATCACGACAGTCTGAACAAGAAGCAAGGCAAAAGGTACCTGCGTTCCCCCTAACATGTGGGTTTGCCCGAAGCCAAAGCAAGGTCATGCGGCTGGTCACGGTGCGGCGGCCGTGAATTCCAAAGTCGCCTTGGATGGCTCACGGGGTTTCACTGGCCATCCGCAGCTCCACTGAACCTGGGAGGCCAAAGGAACGCCATGTGGGGAACAAAGCTGCTTCGAATACCCTTGTGGCGCACGTGCCCCTTCCGAAAGCAGAAGCCGCACCGTCTGTCATGACGGATAAATCTGAGCTTTGTGGTATCCTGTCGACTTAACGCCAGATTTGTGGAGCGTCTCTTGGCTTGAGGCTTCTTGAAACCTCGCGTAGTCATGCAGATAAGAAGTCACTCTTCTGGCCTGAGGCCGACCAGCACAAGAGCCTGAGGGTTGTTGAGGGCGACCTGCGCCTCGAGGCTGGGTTAGTTTCGTCTTGTGGGGGAGGTGCTGCAGCCTCATGAATTTCTGGGCAGCGCGCAAAGCGAGATGCAGGAGCTGGAGCTCCACAGTGCATCCCTGCCAAACCTCCAGGCGCAGCTTGAACGCCCGTGGCCCTGGGTGCTTAGGGCCAACACACGCTTCGGGGCATAATGTTGCAGCATGCCTCAGGGATCTTCAGAGCAGGATGCTCACCACGGGATTTGCTTCATGTTTTCTAGTCCTTTTCTTTGGGGTATGTGTTGGTTTGGGGACTTGTCAGGGTTTTTGTCCATGTGGGGAAGCACAGCTTCCAGTCCCCGGGGCCCCAGTCTACACTTGATACCAACAGTTGCAAAAATCTCCCAAAGCTGTGCAACTCGAGACGTCGGTCGATTTCAAGGCTTCACCAATACTTGTGAAATATTGTGGAACCGCCAATTGGACAATGGACAGAGCCTAGCTGTGTGCCTGCAGAGATGTGCGTGACATGGGTCTGAAGTTTGCTCTTGAGGCCGGCGAGAAGCGCGCGAGAGGGCTGCCCAGCAGTGCGCACAGGCGCGCCATCAAGCTCGAGCCAGTCGTGGCTCATTCATGGTTTTCAGTTTTTGCGTTGAAGCCAATCTCGCTTGAATCCTGCTGCAAGAGGGCCAATGCACAAGACGAGTCCAGTTCCAGAACCCTTCTAGCGCCAGGTTCGCACCACAGCCAAGGAAGATGCCCAACATTTGCACGAGGTCGGGATGGGTTTTGGCATCGTGTCTTTTGGACTGAACGTCCCCCCAACCTCCAGCAGCCGTCATCCTGAAGTGCAACCCTCTGCAGAAAGGCCTGCGGCCAAGGACGAAACATCCCCGAAACGCAGCCAAAATCCCAGAAGCTCCTCACCTCCACCCCCTCTTCCCTTCCTCTTCCCTTGAAGTCATTGAAGTCCCTATGCCCTGTGCGGAGCGCTACCCCCAGCCAACGAAGAACACCCCACGAAGTCACTCGAGAAAGCAGGAGCTGAGAGCTGAGCAGGTGCGTCAAGCCGAGGTGTCGCTGGCGCTTTTTCGTTGTAAGACTGTTTAGGTGCTTGTCTTACGCATGTGCTTATAATTTGCTTGGGGTTTTGTGTCTTTTTGTGTGTGCGTAAAGTTAAAGCACATGAGGTTAGTTGTTGGGTTGGTAGAGCGGCAGCGATGGCGGGTGCCAGGTGCAGAGTTTTGGAATTGGGCTATATCATCAAAGGCAACCATCAGAAATCCTGAGCCCAAAAGAAGCTGGGTGTGCCTATGAGAACACCCCCCCAACCCCCCCCCTCAACATTGGGCCTTGGGGATGGCCAGGGGCTTCTTTCAGCAGCAAACTCCACACTCGGGCAAATCTCTGTGCGGGCCACAGGTTCGAGGAGTCTTTGATGAACTTCTGTCAGGTCAGGCGGAATGCTGTCGACTGGGAGACATCGTGGAGGGTTCGTTTCAGGAATCGGGCGTGACTCTCTCAAGCTACATGCGTTCGAAACTCTGGTACTTTCCCATCATGTAACTAGCGTACAAACATGCTGACATGGACCATCATATGTCGCACCACAACTGATTCATGCGGTCAAAACAACTTGGAGGCAAACAGGGAAGCTCGGGAAACCCAGGCAACAATAGTATGTAGATGCATATCCTATACATATACATATATATGTATGCACAGTTATATACAGATAAAGATTTACATACAAGTTGCCTCCAAAATTGTCAAGCCACAGAACCCGAAAGATTATTGCTGTTTGGACTTCTGGATTTTTTCGTCCCGATTAAATGTAGTTGCGAAGTGCCACAACGCCGTGCGTTAGATCATTTTTGTTACTAAAGGTTGGGATGTTCCCCCTTAATTAGACTAGCAGTCTTGAACCGGGATTCTCGTGCCCTCTACTGTTACTATAATGCCTATTCAGGACTGTTTTATAAGGGGGGAGCATGCCAACTAAAAGGCCACAAGTGAGTTCCTACTGCAAGCCCCCTCCTGAATCTTTTCCCCGATCGCAGTACGCAGTCTCAAATTACCACCGCACCTGCGCATAACCACGACTCTGCCGCCGGTAGATAAAGGAAACCTGCTTGCATTGTAGGGCCTTGCAGATTATGCACCTTGGGTTGTTTTGTTGCCCTCGTTCCGTTCTTGGCTTGTTTGTCAAGGATAGGGTGTGGGCTGAGTTTTAAAATGCCTGGTGTTAGGTTGGTTCTCCTGATTTGTGCAAGTCGTGAAACCCTTGTACCTGGCCTGGCTTGTCCGCGTTGTGGGTGTGCCATCTTGGGCAACTTTTTGGCGCTGGGAGTATTGCTTTAGCTTCCTCGCCTAGCTGCCATCTTTGCTAAGGCCAAGATGGCGGAGAAGGCATCATTGCCATCGCATACAGCTGTGGGAATTGGAGGCTGCTGTCGCTAAGCGTCCCGCCAAAAAAGCTTCCGATTCCAGACGACCTGTGGGTTCCCTCCCAATCTGCTCATACTACCCATCTTTCCCGTTCCCTTCATGGTGTCTCCCAATACACATTCCATTCATACCTCGCATGCTGGCATGCTAGAACCAGCGGCATCGTACCAGCGCAGACCAATGCCAATGACTTCGATGTTTCTGTACTATCTCTGAAGCAAACATCTGAAAGACCGCTGTCCAGGTGCTGGATACCCTGGCGGCCAGGCCCAGCTCGGGCGCATCTCACTTGACAAGTTCCGGAATGCAGAGTAGGTTCCGTGTAAGACAAACACCGACGTTCAGAATCCTACAAATCGCAAGAGTTGCATGTATACACCGCTGTTTAAATGTCCGATGCGTCGTTGTGTCACGTCCGTCCTACGGCTATGGCTTGTTTGGAGTAGTCCTTCACATCACCCACACCACCTGACATGTTGCAATTGCTAGTGCTCTTGGCTGAACTCATGTGTAGTCATGCTTTCGTCATGTTCAACAAAGGCAGCTTTGGAAACCTTGCATACGAAGCTGCACAAGGAAGCTTACATTGCGCTGGCTCGGACACAGTGGCAGAAGTAGCCGGGGGGGGGGGAGGGTGTGGGCAAGAGGCCCGACTGCCACCCAGGTGGGAAGAATTGTTTCCGGACGTGCGCATGCATCACACTTGCATCACACTGCCTGCAAGTTGTTCCTCTTTGCAACCTTGTGGAGTCCACCGGTATGCTGATGCACGTCACATGAGGATTCCAAATCCGTCCCAAGTCGAGGCCCATGGCAGAGCTAGTCATTTATGGTCGCGATTCATGCGGCCTTTGTACCAAGTTCAAGAAGGACCGGATGTCAGTTGGTATTGTGTTGTAGTGTTGAGATGATGTCGATCGCGCTGTGTAGTGCATCCCGACCTCCCGTTTTTGGCCTGCTACACGACGAACCTGTGCTATCATTCGTTCCGATCACGCGTGCGGGGTCTTGTTCTGCGAGAGAGGAAACGAGTCAGGGAGGGAGCGAGCAAGAATTCGAAAGACTGGATGACGCAGTGCGGTTGCCCTTTGGTTGAAGCTGAAGCATTCGTGATCAGCAAGGCCGCCTTGACAAAAGTGCTGAAGCACAGACTTCTTTCGAGTGGCCCATTTTTTCGGTAAACCTTCGTACCCCGAACCCATCCGAACCCTCAACCCCAAGCCTACCAGTTTCTTCTCGAGGACTGCGAGAAGGAGGACTTGAAATACAGATGGAGCAGCATCGAAGTGGCTGCCAATAAGGTTCGTCCATGACTGGTTGAGTACCGGCAGTGGCTGCGTGAACCTCGGTATCCCTGGGAAGGCTGAGATGTCCCGGAAGCTTCGAGCCTGCTCGTGGTTCAAAGGCCACGCCAGCATCTTTGCAAGCAATCCCCTAAAACGCAAGCGCACAATCCCTTAATCCCTGAATGCTTCAGCCAGCCATTGAAGCCACAAACCCTGAAGCTTTAAACCCACACCCTTTAGCCGCGCAGGTGGGACCTTCGGCCTTCCCCTCGTCGACATGTATGGGGATATGCAGTCCAGGACGGGTCGACTGGGGGGGTCGTCGGGGGAGCCGATGCAAGCGAAAAGGGCGTTCTATGTCATGGGAAGATGGCTGTGGAACGGCTGAGTTTGACCAGGAGTGAGAACATCCTAAAGAGATAATAGGCTCTCAAGTTTTGCAACTGTCATGCTGACCTTTGTAGGTGGTTGGGAGTGTTGCAGGCCCACCCCCCCTCCCCCCCCCCCCCCCCCCAACTTTGGAGTTTTAGCCGTGAGGGTGCAAGACGCTGGGACCTAGATATGGATGGAGCCAAGCGCACAACCGCCGCCAGGCCCACTGTCGAGTCAGTCTTGGCTGCGAAAAAGGCATTGCCAAGCGACAGCGAGGTGGCAAAGATCAAGCAGCTTGACTTGAAAAAGAGTCAAACGCCGATCGTTTTAAAGCAAAGTCTGGGATGTTGTGAATTTGTTTATGATGTTTCATTGATGTGTTGATCCATCTGTCTCATCCATCCATGTTTGAAGTTAGAGATAGTATGGCATAGGCAGCGAATACGTGGCACACCAGCATAGCACTCGAACTCAAGCTTTCACAGAAAGCGCGTGTATCCGCATTCTATCAATATGGAAGTGGTCTCCATTGGGACTCACGTAAAAAGGCCCTTCATGCCACTCTCGGATGGGCACGGCGACCTCAATTAATTCAGCAATGGACCCCCCATAGCAAGTCCAACGCGTTGTGTTCTGCGGATTCCTCAAAATCTTCCTTCATGGTGTCATGAAGGAATCTTGAAGTGGATTGTCGCAATGGATTTTGGGGGCACGATTTATGAGAGCGCAAGTTGGGTGGCTTCATTGGCAACTTCTGCAAAGAGCTGCGCCATGGGGTCACACTTCTTTAAACGCTAAGGAAACCGTATCATCGAAAGTCAAACGCACTTACCGACCAGGCAGGGCCAGCACGCTGACCTAGCTAGGACCGGGACACGGACCGGCAAGGACCGGACAAGGACGCCGCGCGTCCAGCCCGTTCGACGTTTTTCCAGGTGAAGGTTGTGGAGGTGGCGGCAGACGTGGAATTTTGTGGTGCAACCAACCGAACACCTCCCTCACGACTAGACTGTCCAGGTTGCTGGGCGACAATGCGACCTGCACCTTCCTTGCAGACATGCATGAGCCTTGCCCTCCATGAGCTGTTCCTCAATCACAGCAGGCACCACGGCCACACTGCCAGGATTTCCTAGACGAGCACTTCCTTCACTCCTTGCAATTTCCGATCTGCTCGAAGATGCCTGGCTTCTCGCACTGCTTCCTCAGTTCTCGGCACTCAGCTTCTCCGAATTTGGGCCATCACATCCTCCAACTGTGGGGTAACGTCAGCTTGCCCCCCTATCTCCCGCAAAATGCCCTGCGAGCCAGCCATCCCCGATGTCCTGGTGTTGAATCGGCCGGAAAACCAGAAGGTGGCTACGGAAGTTGCAAAGAGTCAGCGTGTCACCCACGTGACGGCAAGCAACGTGTGGGTGTGCAGCTTGGGTGATGATGGGTGTAGGCCGAGAATTAACCAGTCTGTGTTTCGTGGTGCGGCTCAGACGTGGAGTGTATACGTGACACCGCCAGCAGCGAACATACGCACAGCTTTGCACCGCCCATGCCCATCAGAAGAGGAAGAAGAGATACACCCCGGCCGCTCCCACGGCTTCGGCATTCCTGGTTGGCCCAGGATATTTGCCTCGCATAGCTTGCCACGGGTCCCAAGGAAGCAGTTCAAGGAGCTGGACGTGGACAAAGATGGCACGCTCAGCTTCGAGGCCCGGTTAAAAGCTGACAATGAGCGGCTCGGTCCTCTCATTGCCAAGCCTTTTTTCAGGATTAGATCCTCTCGTTGCCAAGCATTTTTTTCAAGATTAGATCATCTATATCACATGAACTTTGCACGGCACCCGTTCCTGTGTTCGTTTTAAAGCCTCTAGATTCTAGACTGCCAAAAGGGTGTGGAATGCTTGCTGGCAGCATCATTCTCTCGCGTCCTCGGTGTACTGTAAAGGTTTTTTGGGAAAAATGCCATGCCCTCCTTGTCCGGAGTCTCTAGTGCGATCTGTTTTTGGTGGCGGGGAGGGAGGGACGGGCTCGGGGTTGTCATTTAAGCTATGTGCTTGTGGTGTTTGATTTTGTTTGAGTTTTTGGGCTGTTGTGGCAATGTTTAACAATGATGTGGCGTGGTGCGGCAACGGAGGAGGTTGATTGGGACAAGTAGGAGCACGCACAGCCTTGGGCCTTGGGAGATGTTTGCAGACTGCCATGTCCACGTAGCGTAGCTGGGCCTGTCATGGCTGCACCACGAGTCGCAGGTTAAGTATTGGGCATGGGAGTGGCAACATGAAACCTCCCTGCAGGAGATGAAGAAGATGCTCACTACCTTGAGTCCAAAGCTGTCCGAGGTCCAGCTGCAGACTTGCGGCTGCAAAGGTAGTTGAGGGTTGAGGAGGAGATTGCGCCCATTTTTCATCCAGTTTCTGCACCGAAAGCCAACTTGAGGAAGCTCTTCTGTGCGGCTGACGTGGACCAGAATGGCAAGGTCGAGATGGAAGAGTTTATTGACTTTGTCCTCAATGGCAAGCAAGTGGTGGCAAAAATCTCGCAGGACCGCTTTGCAGGGTCCGATTAAGATTCGAATCGCATCTTAAGAACGTTCGGAGGCTTAAGCAGTTCCTTGCCCGGAGCATAGGTTTGTAGGCTTAGGGTTGCAGGGAAGTTTCCCGGCACATGCATTTATTGAAAACTGATCCCTACCCCGCTCTCCCTGCGTGGTGTTCCAAATTGACGTTTTCTGCTTGTGTCCAAAGTGACACCCTTTTCCGTCATTTTCGGAGGTGGTTCAGGAGCTTGCTGCTGACATTGTGCTTGTCGTTAGAGCATGTTTTGTTCAGTTCTTTGTGTCAGAAGTCATCGGGCCACTTGTTTTCCTGATAGGAATTGGAGAAGATGCAGTGAAAATGCTCACATTATTCATGCCCAGCATCCGTGATTTTGCATGAACAAACATGGGAAGTCCTCAAGCTTTTACAGAAGCTTTACTTCTACGAGGAAAGCCATTACGATTCAGATTCGTAGGAATTCGTGGGTTTTCTAGAAGCAGCTGGAATCTTCGACTTGCTGATTCACAGTGAGGTCAATGGACAATTGCTCTCAATCACCCCAAACAAGTAAAGATCTCAGGAACATCCTATTCGGAGAAAATTCGTAGAACATGATCGTGCTTGAAAGCAACTCTCGATGTTCATGCACAGGACATCCAATTCAGAGGAAGCCTGAACACGGAAATCTGTTTTCCGAGCTCCAGCCAGTAGCCACGAACTGTTGATGTTCGCAGAGGAACCCCCACAGGGCACGCCTTCGGCAGATGGCGTCCGTGCAGACTGGAAGAAGGACGTTCTAGACGCCTGGCCAGCATCCGATTGACAAGATTCTCCTCAAGATAGGATGTAACTCTCCCTCTCTCTCTCTCTCTCGCGCTCTCTCTCTCTCTCTCTCTCTCTCTCTCTCTGCTACCCTTTTTGGCAATCCATCTACCCTGAACCTGACCCGACTCCCCAGATCTCCTCGGTGCGCAGAAGAAAAGAGGCCGCCCACAACGACTTCCGTGCCGAGCATGGCGCCGAGGCGCTGACCTGGAGCGACGAGCAGCTCGGTGGATCCCTGTTAAGGCCACGCGTGGTTATCAGAGCTTCCACCATTTATTTAGGCTGATAAGCAAACCGAGCTTTAAAAGAAAAAAAGGCTTATCTCTTTGAGGTGCTACCTCCTTGCCAAGAAGCAGGCCAACGCTTGCCAAGAGAGGAGTTGCATGTACCATGACCCTCGGCGAATTGTGAGGTGCATCCGGCTCTAAGGTTCAGGGCTGGATTAGGGCTTGCGGCTTGCGCGTGTGTTCGAGCAGTGAGCAGTACAGGGTCGATCAGATGCTGAGAGTTTCGAGCTTTTACAGCGTCCGAGGTTCGGGGCGGACCGCTTATGTGGTGCGTTAAGGCTTGGGCGAAGGTCTGTGACAGCTGGAGCTGACATTGGGGTCGTGAACTCATTCGAGGAGCAAGGACCAAGGCATCTGCGGCAAGGTAAGGAGTTGACATCCAAAGATGCTAGATCAACACAAGCAGAAACACCCCCCAGGGCCCAGAGCCCCCGAAATTTCCAACCGCTCGCACTCTGAAGCCCAAAATCTGGCACACCGAGGGTTCCCTGGACGGGCCCTCCGGCCGGCATGGTCAGAACATCTACTGGAGCCTGGGACACTTCAGTATTGCAGGGCATCTCTGGATTCGGCCCCATTTAGCTGCAGTTTTGAAGCTTCTGTCCTTCTTGGCATAGAGCCACTTGGAGGCCAAAGAGTTTGCAACCAAGCTTTCTAAATCTGATCTGCATCGGAAGGTCGGGAAGTGGAAGCCCCAAGCTCTTCTCCCAAACTCAAAGCCTGGTGAGGTGCAGCATGCCTGGGAAGGATGCGCAGCCGCGGCCTAGCCTCAAGATGGCAGGGTTGGGTCGGAGAGATCACCAATGTTGCCTGGGCTTCGGTGGGTTACAAGAGGGTAGGGACAACGGCAGATGTACCTACAGGCTTCTAACTTCTAACATTGTCAGGACACTGCCAGCCTGTGTGTTGATCAGTGCATAATGGTGCAACGGAAAGCTTGCCCTTCCAGGGTCCATGAGCAAAACATACTGTAGCTCCTACCCCTGCTCGCGAACTCCCCTTCTGCCCTTCCCTCACACTCTGAGCTACCCCAAAGCTTCCTTGGCCATTCATAGCAGAGTGTCATGCAAAAGCTGTCGAGGATGGTCGAGGCCTGGTATCAGGAGCTTATCAAGCCGGGCTATGACTTCGAGAAAGCCACTTTCACGCCTGGGACTGGCCATTTCACCCAGGTGGTCTGGAAAGGACGGTGCGGGCTCAAAGTTGAGTTCGCACTACTTTTCCGACTTTTCCCATGGCCCTTTGAATTTCCATAGGCTCTGAGTTTGTCAGCCAGGAACCACCCAAGTGGGTATGGCTTTATCTGAAGATGGCCGCTTCTGCGTGGCGAACTACTTTCCTGCGGGGAACATGATGGGAGCTTTCAAGAAAAATGTGCTCCCACGTGGCAGCCCGTATGCGCCCAAGGAGGACGGAAAGGGAATCGGTTGAGCAGATGGGGGATCATTGTGGTGTGGTGGCATCGCACCAAGTCACTAGTTTAAGTCTCCAGCCTCAAGCCATGGGGGGTTCGGATTCGTGCTTCTGTGTCAAGAGTTCTTCCTTGCCTTCTGGAGGTCGGAATGAAGTGTAGCCCCTCGCATTTGTGCATTCGGCTGAGAGAGCCCTATTCATCCTTTGCAGCCGAAAGCTTAATTCCCAGCGTAATGCAATCAGCTGTCCAAGTCAAATCCGAGTTCTACACCCCACAAACCCGGAATTTCTTCGATATAGAGCCGGTCTTTATACTGCAACCCGCCCAGCAACACTGAGCTTGTGTCAACGAGCTGGCAAGAATCTCTTCCAAGAATGCTTGAGAACCCAATATGGTTGGCAAGCTGGAATCAATGCTCACATACATGATCGGAGCGCCCGAGGCTTCTTTCTGAGAACATCGCAAATGATCAAGAAGGAAGTCGCATTGTGCCGGGCCACTTAAGATGACAACTCCGTGTGGAGAGGCTATGCCTACTTCAGATAAAACGCTTGGACCACGAAAATGGACAAGCGCCATGCCGCCGCATGGCCCAAATCGGCGGCTAGCCGGTCCACTGGAAGCCAACGACGAAGACGAAGACGACGAACAGAACGAAGACACCGAACACAACGAAGACAACGAGATCAGCGTAACGAGCGCAACGAACAGGACGAACACGACGACCACGACGAACACAACAACCGACAAACTGCAAACAACCAACAGCCAACAAGAGCCACAACCAACAAAAACAGCAAGTGCAAACAGACGTATGTTTGGCATGGAACCCTAAACCCTACTAAACCCTACTAAACCCTACTAAACCCTACTAAACCCTACTAAACCCTACTAAACCCTACTAAACCCTACTAAACCCTACTAAACCCCACTAAACCCTACTAAACCCTACTAAACCCTACTAAACCCTACCAAACCCCACTAAACCCTCCTAAACCCCACTAAACCCTACTAAACCCTACTAAACCCTCCTAAACGCTACTAAACCCTACTAAGCCCCTAAACCATCTAACCCTGGACTCCCCTTCAGAGAAGGAGGCGCCGAAACCAAGGGCGAAGGCGGCGCCGAAGCCCAAGGCTGAGGCAGCAGGCCGCGGCACACCGGGCACACCACTGGTGCAGGGTTGTTTCTCCTTCTTCTTCCTAGCATTATTATTATTACTTATTTTTTTGTATTTATATTATTTGTGAGACCGCATTGTAGGCCTTGGATATAAATTTAGGTGCTTGGAAGCTTTCCTGCGAAACAGAAGCAGAGCTCCCAACACTTCAGAGGTCAGCCGCCCCTGCAACGCAAGACGCCTGTTCCAATGAAGGCGGTGGCGGTGATGCTGCTCCTGCAGCCGGCCCTACCAAAGTTACGGCGAAGGCGCCCTTGGCCCCTGTACCAAGTTTGCAGCCCTGGATGTTTTCTGTGGGGGGGTGCATGTCGCATCGTTCGGTTGGCTTGAAGGAAGCAGGGTAGAAGTTCCCCTAGCTACTTGAAACAGATGTTGAAGGTTTCGTTGTTTGGAGGCAAGGTGGTGTCTTTTCTAAAGGTCGCGAAGTTACCACGAAGGGCTCGGGGGCACGCCAGTGCTGCCATGAGGGCTTTGAAGACAAGCCAGGCCATGACTCCGGAGCTTCTGGCCACCCTGACTGACTGCCCCTTTCCCTACAAGGAGTGGGTTTAGGGGGGCGGCCTTTGGTGAAATGTAGGGACGAAGTATGGGATAGAGAGAACTCGGAGGGCTTGTTCTTTGGACGGTTGCTGGCTTGTTCGAGATGTTACGGGACGGCCTGGGATGCGAGCTTGGCTGGAGCAGATGTCCAGGCAAGTCGGATTCTTCATGAGGGTTTAGGGTTTGGCCCCCCCCCCCATCCCCGTCTGCCTTGTGACCAACCCCAACACCCAACGAGTCGTGCCTGTTGCTCACATCATGACAGATTGGCAGAGACGTCTTTTGCAGGTCCCCTCTGCAACACCTCAGAAACTCCAGGTGAACCCTAAGCTTGAAGCTAACATCCATAGATGGCGCAAGAGGAGAAGATCGAGCAGGCATTCGAGAAGGCAGGCGTGGAGGTGTCAGCAGCTTGGCTTTGATGTTAGCAAGGCCAAAAAAAAAGAGCTGACCCTATGATGTAGCGGAAGGCGCAAAGTGAGAGCTCAGAGTTGAAAAAACAAAACCCGGGCATGTTGAGCCTGGAACTTGGCTGAGGTGGCCCGATCGGAGGAAGGCATCCGCAAGACCATTGAGGTGACCATCAAGGACGGCGGGTGTACTAGCCGGATGCGTGGAACCTGGGGAGGAGGCTGATTCTAACTCCAGCCTGGCCTGTGAAGGGCTAGGCTGGGACTGCTTTTCGTGTTGGGGCTGGCCCATCTCCATGCCATTCGAAATTCGGCTGAGGCTCTTTCGGCACACGTAACACTATGCATGATTCTACTTGGAGGTTCGTGTCAGTGGCGGCGAGCAAGTCTCACCAACTTGGATTCCCATAGCAGAGCTTTGACTTACCATGGAACCTCCAAGTAGCCGCCGGATATGCCAGTCGACGGCGTTTTTTTTAGGCCAGCCCCGCCCAAAAGCCGCGCGTCAGCTACCTGCGCGGATGATGCGCCGAGGACACAGTCCAAGGCGCAGACGGCGCAGGATTCTGCAAGAAGCAGGGGGAGGGGAATGGACAGGAAATGACAGTGTAAGGACCAGTGTACGTTCATGGGCGTGGCTTTGTAGGTAAGTGCCCACCAAACCCAATGCCGGGCCATGCAGGGCCCATCAATGTCGAGGGTGTTTCTGAAGTTTCCCATCCCTCTGACTGCGGCACTTTCAAGATTGCGAATGCAGGAGGCTAAGGGTAGCGGATGTTGATCAAATGCAGAAGGAGATACAGGGAGTCATGACCGCAACCATTCTTAGCACAGTCCCTTCTTGGCACGGCTCCTTGCTCGCAATCGCTACCTTCAGCTCGCCTGGCACCTGCAACATGTCTCAGTAGTAAGGTTGCCAATCTTCACCACGATAGGATGGAGCGCAAAGCTGTTAGATCAAAAGTGCCAGGCGCCCGCCGAATTCATGTGGAAAGGAGGGGTCCTCAACATGGGGACTGCTCTTTATGTTGAAGGCGTGGGCGGCGGCTTGGCAAAATGCCACGCCGCAACCCTCCGAGCCTGGAAAGTTACGTGAAAAAGTAAAGTGCGCCGCCATGAATGTACGGACCAGTAGCGTAATATACGCATGTGGTAGCATGAACGGTTTGGGTTATGTGTCCGGACACGACCAGAAGAGAATCGAAGAGGTCGAGGAGCAGGCCTTCAGATTCCTCACATTGGGAAGGATGGGGGGAAAATTGTTGTAAAGGCTGTGGAGAGGGCTGGCGGCACGCATAATAATGCAAGAGAGGATCACAGCGGGTGATGGCAGATGCAATGGAACCGTGAGAAGCTCGCATGCGGGTGCTGGCGAGGCTGATGCCTTGGCAGAGCACACCATGGACCAAGTGTCAGGACACGACGCTGGATGTCGACCATTTCGTCGAGCACGCCCGCGTGCATGCAGGGGGTTCTTGGGGAAGCAGGGTGGAGCCGATATTGCTCGTGCAAGATGTATACAGCGATTGTTTCGATGCTCGAAACTCAGCTTTCAAAATGGGGAATGGCCCATGGCGAGCCGCACGTTGAACATGCGCAGATTTTGCATTTAACTGTCGTGAACGAGATTGATAAAGTTTGCATATCTGGCTGCTGCTGGGCAGGAAATGAGGGAGTGGAGGCTCCTGAGAGTCATCGAAGCTCATCCAGGAAACATCGGTTCTGTCAGTAAGCCAATTCCGAAGCTTAATCAACACGCATTTTAACCGTGCTCGCAAGCATGTCTTTAGTGCTGCCTGCTTCTTGTCAAACCAAAAACTGCCCTGCATTTGCCCTGCCGGAGTGTTCCCTGTAACCACGCTTGTCCTCAACTCTGGCACCCGTGCACCCCATGAAGGTGACAACGTTGTCTGGTTGACTGTGCTGTAATTAAGCCAAGAGCCAGTTGGAAACCTGAGCATTCCTAGAAAGCCCCCCCATTTGCACAATTCACACAACCGAACAGCGTGACCACCCTGGGGACACGTGCAATAGGTGGATTTGCTGCAGTGGGCGTCCCAGATGCGCTCCGGATTCTGCAGGGTGTTGATCTGAAAGGCTGCTGAAGGCTTTGAGTTTGCGACTTTCTACGGTTTGCAGCACAGGACCTGCAAGAGGCAACCCTGAAGGCGGCCTGAACCGCCTACGCCTGCGCTCACCCACCCCGCATCACTCACTACCGCTGACTGTCCAACCCAAGCCTCGTCCAAGCCCCAACGTTTGGTGGCTCCCAGGTGCTCTGGCGATGAAGGCCTCCAGGGCTAAGACCGGATGATGGTGCAAACAAAAAAATGGTCTATTGGTTCCCCCCCACATCCTGAGAACCCCTTTCGCTCCCTAAGCCACTACAGCTCTATGAGACATGTAGATTGCATGATTGCTGTGAATTTGTTGCGGCACCTGTTGTCGTTCAAACGCAAGCCCAGCCTTGGCCTTGGCTGTCTGCAACCCCCCCAAAGCTTGGGGTTCAGCTAGGCGTGGCGGCGTAGTTGCAGCCTCCCCACCAATGCCACCCAACCATTCCTCGGCCAGGAGGGCCCGTGCCCGACTTACCGGCGCGGCTTTGAAAGGGGGTTTTCGGGCTCCTTCAGAGCTCCTGGGTTTACATGCAAGTCGCAAGAGGCGCAAGAGTCGCGAGACTCGATTCGGGGGGAAAGGATGAGCAGCAATTCGTAGCTGTAGTTCAGTGCCTCATGCGGGTACCTTTCCCCCAGTTGCAGCCGTCTGGCTCGTGAGCTTCAGGCACCTTCTGGAGTCGCACGCTGTAGGTTTCCGGGTTTGGAATAGCGTCTTCGCCATGCAAGGCTATCAAGGAGGCCTGCTTGGGACTGGTCATTTGAGGGTTTTTTCCGTGAGGACCTGAGCCTGAAACAGCGCCCCTTCCCCAAAAACGACTTACTTGCATCTGCTTGTTCATGTGCACACATGAAACGAGGCCGGCCAACAAAAATTAAATCGCATCACCGAGAGGCGGCTCCCTCGCACAGATGTTTGGACTTCCGCTGGCCGACCTCTCCGGATTCTCTGGAGACTTGCAGAAGAGGACGGACAAGACTGGCAAGATAGTATCCACGTTCTGTGTGTGCCTGTCAGCGGACGCGCGATTTCCTTCCGCGATTGCTAGCTAGATGCTATATACCCACAAAGCACACGACTTATTCATGCTGTCCGTTGTCTTGTGCTGGTTGGTGGCCCTAGGGCTAAGCCGTACAGACGCTGTTTGTTGGAGTTTCTTGGCCAGTCTGGAGAGCGCCTTGGCGGCGAAGAACGCGCTGCCAAAGGAAGCCGATGTGGATAAGATCAGGCCAGGCTTTCGATGGACCTCCTCAAGCCGCTGAAGCAGCCAAACTCCTTGAAGACTGAAAGCCGTAGCTTTCCAGGGTACCTTGAAGCTTCCTGCTAGCTGCCGTTTGCAGTTGTGTGGAGGAAGCAGATGGAGGAGTTGGACGTGAACAAGGACCGCACGTTGAGCTTCGAGGCCAGCCGCTTTCTGCTCACGACGGCTTCCCACCCCTGAAACTACGAATTTCCCATTATTTTCCATGTATGCACATGTATGCACATCATCCGCAAGATGGCCTCGATTGTTTCACTGCGCCCGAAGATGAGCCGCAGTCTGTCAAGTGCTTGTCCCATATTTCCTCAGCTGGTGTTCCCCGTTCGAAGCCAAAGGAGATGAAAGACATGCTGCGCTCAGTGAGCCCGAACCTTTCCGAGATCCAGCTGCAGACGCATGGCTGAGAAACGGGGACTGCTGAATGAAACAGGGAGGGAGGCTGGAGGCCTAATCACCACCACACCCTGACTATTCAACAGTTTCCCATCTTCCCTCTCACATTCCATCATATTCCCAAGGAAGCTCTTCTGTGCGGCTGATGTCAACCAGAACGGTTCTGTGGATTTGCGTGAATTTCGCGATTTCGTCCTGCACGGCAAGGAGGCGGCAGCGAAGGTTGTGCAGGAGCTTTGGGGTTTTGCCCAGCCCTCAACCCTAGAATCCCCTAGAAGGCCCTAGAAGCAAATACGTCTGTGGTGCAAGAAGGCACCACTGCTCAGTCGTGGACGATCATGTTCTTCAGGGCCTTTGACCAGATGGGAATGATGGGAAGGCTTCCGAACCCATGACCCTTCAGAACTTCAGCCCACTCATGCCAATGCAGGAGCCCCCTCAGGGAACGCCCTCTACTGATGGTATCCGCTCGGACTGGAAGAAGGATGTCTTGGACCCCCTGCCTGCACCCACTGCTGTTGAGGAAAGCCAGATACAATAGCAACTGATTGCAGAGGTTGTCTTAGCATCGAGAGCCTCACAGTAGAAATATCATTTTGGTATATTTTGGTTGTAGTTTGGGTGCTTTGGGCGTCTTGGGCAAGCAGGATGGGACTGATCAGTGGTTGGAGGAGTCCAAAATGAGGCTTCTCATGGCATGGGATACTGGGGATGTCCCATCTCAAGCATCTCAAGCCTCAGCCTTGCTGTTTAGGGCCCGAGGCCACAGGTAGAGCTTGCAGATATTGGCAGATGCTTCAGAAGGGTCTCTGAAAGGAGCCTGTTGAAGGGTAAACAGTCAGTCTTGGGCAAGCGCCTCCACACGCTGCACTATATGAGCGACCGTCAAAATTAGCGTTGATTAGCTGTAGTACGGGACGGACATCGGTTTATGGGATGGTGGCTTTTGATTTGCAGAACGATAAGGGACATGCAGAAAACGATGGCCCCAACATCATGACTAGCACACGCTCGCGCAGCTGTAGTATGAAACTAGCGGAAGAGCGTTTTAACCTGCAGAACGATATGGGACACGCAGAAATCGATACTCCGCTGCTCACATGGCTTTATAAGGTTTCATCAGCTGCGAAGGCCCGGCATGCTATATACTCTCTATATACATTTGCCCTCTAAGAGACAGCTGCAAAGCTGCCTCGTGGCGTCTGACTCTGCCAAGGAAGCTCACAATGAGTTGCGTGCTGAGCACGGGGCTGGGAAGCTTGAATGGAACGACGAGCAGCTTTGCGCAGACTAGCACTTTGCACATCCCTATGGGGCTCTCAACTAAGCAGTCTTGCAAGAGAGGCATGAAACCCAAAGTACTGGTTTTAGGGTTTAGGGGCGACTTTGGGGCTCAAGGTGGAGTTTCAAAACTGGGCTCAAGATGAAAAGGCCTTAATGCAACCTTTGGGGACGGGTTTTGGTTTCTTGATCTCCCCACCTCAGCGAGTCTCAACAGTGGGATGAGGTGCTACCTCCAGGCCAAGAAACAGGCCAATCTCTGCCAGCAGCGGGGGTGCATGATGCATGACGCTGGGCTGCAGACATGGGATTGTGTGCCGTGGGTTTGGGAAGCTCAGTGAGGCACTCGACAGGCAGGGGTTGCGTTGCCTCACCCGTCGACCCGTGTATTTCTTGAATGTGTATCGCCTCGCCGGTTGGTTGGGGATACATGGTACCCCGCTGCCGCTGCCCCCATTGACCTACCGTACGGCTGTATGACTTATTTGTTCGTCTTTGTTGGTAGCGATTAAGTTTGACTGATATGTGCTTATACTTACTCATATTCGTTTGCTTTCATTTTCCCTTCTTGATGTTGCATATGTATGTTTGTATCTGTTTTACAACGGTTTACACTCTGTACATTTGTTTGTGTTTATTTACATCTACATGCACAGGTTGCTTGTGTATGTATTGCTTTCATGTTTGCATGCATTGACAGGGCTGAGGGCCGCTTAGGATGATTCGACAGGAAGTGCCCAGAATTCATCCTGGCGTTCTGCCCAAATAAAAATGGTTTCCGAAATTAGGACCTGATTGCGGTCCTTATTCTAAGGGAATCCTACTATTTGGGGGGTCTATATTAGGGGTCCCTTTTTTTTCAACCCCCGTTGTTTTTTCATGTAGACCCGAAGCTTGCTCTCACAGTGTCTCACAGTGCTTCTTCACATTCCGCAGTTTCCGAGATGTTGCCTGGCCGAGGGTAGCGTCGAGGGCCCTTCCGGGCGTCACGGTCAGAATATCTACTGGTGCCTGGGCATCAAGTTGGGCGCTAGGTCCCCAACATCTCTGTGATTTGTTTCTTCATCCGAAGTTTCGTTTTTCTTCAAGTTCGAGCTCCAATTCGACCGTGAAGACACAAGCCCTGGCCATAGACACTTTGACCAGGTGCAGGGGAGTCAAGGCAGCAACCACATGTCTTGTGCAGATCCTCCAGCCCGTATCTGCGCCCAAAGCCCAAAACCCAAAAGGTGCAGTGCGCCGGGCTCGTCTGCAAAGGAGAGTCCTGGCAGAATGAGTTCCGAAGAGAGCTCCGGTTTTTGGTTTCAGGGGCAGGGCTCTACAGCTGGGATAATAATATTATTTGTATTTTTAATATTGTGTTAATATTATTAGATAGTATTCATACTACTAATAGTAGTACTGCACAGCTGTTCTTGTAGAGACATTGTCGAGGCTCTGGTTAGGGCCACTTGAAGCCTGATGAAACCTCCAAACAATCCCCACAAAACCCCGATCTTGGCTCTGCACACAGGATGGTCAAGTCTTGGTACGAAGAGCTTCTGAACCCGGGCTATGACTTCGGCCAGGGAAACTACAGTCCAGGCGCCGGTCACTTCACCCAGGTGGTCTGGAAAGGACCGATTAGGCTGAGGCTGACTTTGTTTATGCCAGTTGAGCAGAAGGATTTTTTTGGGTAGATGCTCAAGATCCGGGTCTAGGGTGGCATCATGGCCAGGGAGACTCCGAGTTTCATTAAGTTTCTGCAGCGCCATGTGATGCACAACGGTGGCAGACAAAGGTCGAAGTCGAAGGCAGGATCAGGCACGTGGAAGTAGTGCAGTGCGCCTGGCAGGATCGACTGGAGTCGGCATGGCCGTGTCTGAAGATGGCCGCTTTTGTGTGGCGAACTACTTCCCTGCCGGAAACATGATGGGAGCCTTCAAGGAGAATGTGCTCCCACGTGGCAGCCCCTACGTGCCCAAGAAGGAGGGGGAAGCTGGGAGGAAGGAAGTGGGCATCGCTTCTTTGTTTCATGGCAGTTTTGACCGTTTCGAAGCAAGCCAACATGCTGGTTTCCGGTAGTTACGGTAGATCGCATACATTCTGTGTCATCATAGAGACGAGAATTCTTGTTTGGCAAGTAAAAGCAGTGGCATTTACTTTAACAACGCACCGGAGACACGTATCCTTTGTTATTTCATGTTATTTCTGGGTTCAAGGCGGGAACTCAGCCACTGCGTTTTTGGGGTTTTACTGCAGTGACTTCCCGCCTCCACAAAAGAAAAACAATCTAAAAGCCTTCAAGTCCCATATCTCGTGCTGAGACGCGATATTTGTGCTATATTTAAGAGATAAGTACCAAACTACATTTTGCGAGGGTATACGAAGCGTACGTTCCTTTTGCAAACCTTCCACGCTGAATCATCGGTGCTTCTGCCTAAGCAATGACGAAAAGTCAGGCCATTGGCCTAGCTAACTCGGGCCATGTTCTTGAAGTCAACTATTGTGATATTTCCACGACCGAAGCATTTCGGCGACTGCGTCTTCAACAAGTTTCGCGTCTGCTGCTCGTTCAAAGAGCTGTCCCGAGAGTGCGTTCTGTGAAGAGACTTCCCATCTTGGGTTGTGTAGTGTTATCCAGACCAGGTGTTAACAGGGTCTCAAGGTGCGATGGCTAAACAAGGTGAGGGAGTTAGTACTAAATTACCTGTCCAGCCGTGGAGACCTTAGCTGCCCAAGAGTCCGTCCATGAAGAGCACACGTTAATAACATTGTTTTACGGGTGAGTGAAACGCACGGCGTACAATATATAATATCATAACGTAGTGCATTCATGAGGTTGTTTCGTTCATGTGTTCACACCCCTAATAATCATAGTACTTTGAAGGGACCGCATGAATATTGCTATAATGTGGCCCCTTAACATTAATATTATTACAGGGATAAATATACAGACTTTCCTTAGGACTTTCTCCTCTATTCAGTTCACCCACGACATGAAGATACTAATCATAGATCCGTGAATGACATGAACGGGGAAAAGTACAGCTTCTTTCTATGGACAAAAGACGTCTTTCACCCTGTCATTTCTTTAAGAATGGCATTATTAACCCAATCCTTCAGAATCAACTTAGTCTTACATTTGCGTAAAAGCCCTTAATCTATTTCTGATTTTGGGGGGGTTGTCCTGTTTCTGAAGCTCTATTATTTGTATCCTTGTTTTGGACATCGTTGTATTTATTATCTTGTCCAACTTTAGGGATGTGGCCTGGAGAAGCTTTGTGAATTAACTTATGCTAATACACTTATTTTATGTAATGCTGCTATATCTTTAGGAAGTGCTTTTGTTAATTTAGGAATTTCCTCACAATATACTATTTTCTTCACTTTGTGGTCATTCTATTTATCTTATCTTTTTATTAGTTTGTGGATTAAAGAATTTCGTATTACGTTAATGATTCACTTTATACTCGTAGGTGTTTCTTTCTGTTTTCTTACAGCATTACATTTGTTTCTTCTAATTCTTGGTATTTGCTTCGTTTTACTATCTTGCTTTTCGCATTCACGCCTTGCCTAGCTCCAGATTTGGCCCGGCACGTGTGCGCATGCTTCAACAAACGTGAGAGTGCTGTATTGGTTTTTTTGGTCGGCTGCATAACTTCCCATGGTGTGCACAGGTGGAGTACAACAAAACTCTAATCCTAGTAAGCAAGGCTCATAGAAACTAATAAACAAACACCCATTCCCAAAAATAATGCAAAACAACATAAAAGCCTAAACATGAAGGACTCGTGGGAAACTAGGACACCGAAACCAAAAAAATCAGACACAAAAACCAATTCCCCAAAACCAAAAAAACCAATACCAAAAAAATCAAAAACACCAAAACAACCAATTTTCCGGGACTTTTGATTCGTAAGCTTTATTTCCACAGCTTTCACAGAGTCCCGGAAAATTGGTTTTTTTGATTCTTTTGGTTTTTTTGGTATTGTTTTTTTTGGTTTTGTGGAAATTGGTTTTCTGGGCTTTCTGTGTTGATTTGGTTGGTTGTCGGTGTTCCTGTTCTCCCAAAAGTCTTGCAAAATTCATATTTTTGGGGTTTTGCCTATTGTTTCACATGGTTTCTGCGGTTTTAGCAATTCTGGCCTGATTGCTAAACCTCAAAAACGCAGCGGCTGAGAAACCGCTTTGAACCTATTTCTGTATCCAGGCCAAATGGGGCTGTTAGGCCCTGTTAGGCTCATCCAGAGCATTGACTGAAGTCGATTGTGAGTCTTGGAGCTCGGAACCGCTCGAAGACAGGAAGAGCCAAAGCCAAGACCAGCTCCCTCAGCAGGCATCGGCTGAGTTTAGAGCTGAGGCTTTGCAACCTGTTCAAGGCTTTTGGCTGTGTTTCGGGATAGACTTGCGACTGCATGGACCGGCGTGTGTTGTGGGAGTTCAGGCTGCTACAAGTACGGTGTCAAACGACTTTGAAGTGAGTAGGCAGGAAGGTCCCCCCAAGTCTCCCCAAGTGCGCAGCCTCGCCTGCACTCCTGAAACCCTGGCAGGGGGAGGCGGAGGGGGAGGCGCAGGCGCCGGGACAACGGTCACAGCGAAGGCTGGCCTTCCATGTTTGCAGCTTCAGCTTCCTTGCCGCGGATCGTGAACTTGGCACCGTAAAGCCCCCTTGTCTTGCAAGAGTCCCTGGCTCGGTGAGAGCCAGGACATGACTCCGGAGATGGCAGCGGCGTTCGACGGGTGCCCATTTCCCTTCAAGGACATGCCCTGCATGTCGAAACCCAACAGCTGTGAGCTGGCCTTTGCATGAAAAGCTGCAGCAATTACCCTAAGTCGTGATGGAAACAGGACGAGTGAATTGGTATGTGGTCTTATCTCTAAGTATACACTTCTCGCACGCTGTGCTGAGAAGAGTCGCGCCGTCTAAGCCCTACGCCCAGCGCCCTGGGACCGAGTAAGCATAGGGTTTGCAGGGGTAGCTACAGTCTCGTCTGCTTTAGAAAGGGTCGCGTCCATCTCCTGAATATTGAATCCTAAACCACAATTACCCCCCTCCCCCTCCCCTCCCCCAAAGACAGGCCCGGGTCGAGGCGGCCATGCAGGCCGGTGCCGAGGTGACGGTGCCCCGGCCCAAAGATTTGGGTAGGTCGTTGCATGGATTTGGGATGATGGTTATAGGGGCTGAAGCTCGTTTTGCAGAAGTCGCATTTTCGGAGGGCTTGGGGTTGGTGATTTCTTGTGCGCTGTCCAAGAGCAGCTTGCAATGCTCGCGCCTTCTCTTGCGAAGCGGGCGCTGGACCGGGGGAGACTGAGGTGGACCGGAGTGTGCAGGGCACACAGAACAACATCGTGGTCACCATCAAGCAGGGCATGTGCACCTCCAAGATGAGTGGCGCTTGGGGCGGCGGCTGTTTTTAGGCCGACTGGCCCCTGCTGGAGTTCCATGCAGCCTATAGATGGCTGTGCGAGATTTCCTGCCATCCTGACCTTCGGTCACGCCTGCACCAGATTTTTTGTATGGTTTCGCAGCAAGGGGAAGAAGCGAAGTGACAACAACTTGGTTGAACTCTCTAAGAGCTGTTTGTAATGAAACAACAACCAGTCTCAGCCGACTTCACGCCCTGGATCTGAGCGTCATGCGCTCGCGTGGTCAGAGTTGTTTTCAAGTTGACGCCGGGACAACCCATTCATAACCCAAAGGCCCTTCCTTTTTTCATCCACGGAGTGGTCTCTGCCACAAGCCACGTCCCCTAACCTTCTTGGACCTTATGCAAAGCACTGACCCCTTCAGGGAGTGCCAGTTTCTCTTCTTGTTGCGCATTGTGTCCGTGGAGCAGGTCAGGCCTGAAGTTGTGGGTCTACGTCTCGTTGGCTTCAGAATCGTGATTTGTATCTTGTCCTGCTCCACAGGCGCCTAGGCCCTAGGCTGCTGGGCAGCAGAAAACTGCCCGAGCACTGTTGACATTTCGTGTGGAGCTCCCTCCTCCTGGGACTGGGCTCCACAACAGTGCCCCATAGATTTGCCAAACCTGCCCGAGGCTTTGACAAAATCACCCGAACACCGTGCCTCATCGACACTGTCGAAGAAACATGCCTTCGTCCTATACTTTCCGAAAGCTCCGCGGACTCTTGCGGAGCATGGCGGCCTTTGGTATTCTCTAGCCACATGCTGAGAGTTTCCATGCAATGTGCCCTCAAATCATGGCAGGAGACGGATCGACTGCTGCGGGACTCTTAGTTTCTAGCCTTCTCTGGACATCCTGATCGGGCTCGTCTGGTCCCTCAAGCCGTGCGACTGGGCCAGAGCTTGGACGAGCGGACAAGACCCCAGGTTCTCTGGCGACGAAGGCGTCCCCTCGCTGCCGTTCAGTGCTTAGCTTCTCGTTCAAGTCTCTTGGAGAAGACCTGAGAGCCGTCGGGTGCAGCGATTTCGTGATTGTTCTCTGGTGACCAGACTCTGGTGCTGTGAGCATATGTACCGCTGCCCAAAACACTAGGTAATGCTAGGCAGCATGTGGACCTAGGCTCGGGGACAGTCTCCTGCAATTTTCTCAGGCAGACGCCCTCGGAACTCTCTCGGTCGGATGATGTAGTGGCAGGCCCGGGAGACTGATGGGAGAGTTGCGCACGCAGAGAGCTTTACTGTAAGGGCTTGCATGTGCAGCCTGAGACGTGCACGTCGGCGGTCCGGTCTCAGATACGGAATGTGGCCGCATTTCTAAACCCGAAACCTTGAATCCGCACTGTGTAAGTGAGCTTGGGTCTTGATTAGCGGTAAAGGCGGTGTCAGCAGGCCATGCAAAAACAGTTGGGGCACCTGTTGTCTGTGCTCGAGTACTGGTGATGGCTCAGTGAAATTTGGGCTGGGCGGTCGTGGGGGTCGTGGGCATGTTGCCAAGGGAGCTGGGGAGGGTTGTGGTAGCTGCCAAGAAGTCAGGAAGGCCGGAAATCGGGGACCGACAGACCACAGAAGCACAAAGAACCTATTGCCGGGATTCTGCACCCGCCATAATCCAGGTTTCTAGGAGCTATCTCATCTGCATGTGAGCATGGGCATCTCTCGTTACTGTGTCAAGCTCATG